AGAAGTATTATTTACGCACTCAAAGACACCCCCTACAAAATGGCTCTTACTGGCACTCCGGTGGTTAATCGCTCCGCAGATATATTTGGCATCCTCAAATTCCTTGATCCAGAAACCTATTCTTCTTATTGAAGATTTGCCGAACAATATTTTTATATTTATAAATCAGAAATTCGGAAAGGCAAAAAAGTCTACAAAATTTTTCGAGTCCAAGACTTTAAGAACGAGCAAGCGCGCCGGGAATTACAAGAAAAAATTAGCCAACTTTCGGTCAACCGACGCCAAAAAGAAGTCCTGCCCTGACTACCACCCGTAATTTACCAAAAAGAATATTTGTTGATGGAAGAAAAACAACAACTTGTCTATTCCCAATGACGGGAAAAATGAAAAGATTATCAGCCGCTCGAAGTATTAGCCAATTTAAAAACGCTAACTCTCTATCCGCCGGCCTTGAGTTTGCCTGGTTCAGGCAGTAAAATCAATTATCTGGTTGATTTTCTGAAAGAAAGAAAAGGACAAAATATAATCATTTTTTCCACTCGCAGCGAAACTTTTTTGGAGCCCTTGGCCGCTGCCTTAGCTGAGAAAAAAATAACCACTGGGCTTATTATTGGCAAAACTAATTTTCAGGAAAGAGAAGAAAATATTAACAAATTTCAAAATGGCGCACTCGATATTTTACTCTGTAATATCCAAAGTGCAGGCATGGGACTGAATCTGAGCCGAGCCGAAACCATCATTTTTGCCGACCGCAGTTATTCTCCGGCTGATAACGAACAAGCCGAAGCCCGTTTCTTGCCTACCACTAATTCTGAACCTGGTCGGGTGCGTTTAGTAATTGACCTTATTTGCCAGGGAACCATTGATGAAAAAATCCTCCAATTACTCAAAAGAAAGGAAGACATAATTAAGGTGTTGAATAGTAATCCTGGTTATTTTTTTAGTTAATTCTTTCTTTTTGTTAACACGCAAGACATTTTTTTTATCTCTCGAAAACTATCTTCGGGGCCGCAACCAGACCATATTCAATCCCCGCATCTTTTAACATTCTTTTTGCTGCCATTACTTCTTCTTTTTGGTTATGTTTATCGTTCGAATAGAAAATATGTTTTATTCCTGCCTGAATAATCAATTTAGCACATTCGCAGCAAGGGAAAAGAGTGGTATACAGCGAAAAACCCTGACAATTTTGGTGAGCGTGAATTATAGCGTTAGCCTCAGCATGAACGACATACGGATATTTAGTTTCTAGCCAGTTTTTGTGGTCATTTTCCCACGGGTAATTATCATCATTACAACCCCACGGCAAACCATTATAACCAGTCGCAATGATTTCCTTGTTTTGGTTAACTATTACTGCCCCTACCTGGGTGTTGGGGTCTTTGCTTCGCATAGCACAAACTTGGGCTATTGTGATAAAATATTCCGGTCAAGTTAAATAGTCCGTTCTCTTGGGCATAAATAATTTTTAACTGAGAATAAAAACATTAGTACATAACATAAACATTATAAAATAATATTAAGGAGGCAGAGAAAAGGGATGAGGCAGAGATTCCAAAATCTCTCTCTCTCTCTCTCTCTCTCTTTATGAGAGTTAAGAATAATAAAAGTAAGAGAAGAAAGTTGATAAGGAAAGGTCAGAAGTGGTTAGTTTCCTAATCCCAATTACTCCTAATTATTTTTGGCCGAAAAAGTGAATGGGAAACAGTTATCTAGTCTGAAAATACTGGATGCCGGGCTACCGCGGTCAGCAGTAGCAAAAAATAATTAAAAATTTATAACAGATATGAATAACATTAATATATTCAATAAAAACGAAATAGAAAATAAACTAAAAGATTTTAAAGAGGGGCAAGATTATTCAATTTTGCGAGAAAATGATAAAAAGACTACTTATAATTTCCGTAATATGGTATTAAGTGAAATATTCAAAAGAGATTATGTTACGGTTTATGAAGCAGCCGAAAATTGGGATAGCGATAATTACAATTATCATCGGGAAGTCGGCGAGTATGTTAATGACAAAAATAGGATTACTTATCATTACGAACACCGAATAAATAAAAATGGTGATTTTCATATTGAGTGAGGTAAGTCATGAGATGATAATGAAAGGTTAAGGATGATTGCAAGACCGGCCGAACCGAGAAAAATTGAGTCTAGTCCGGAAAGTGAGGAAGTTAGGGAACACCGCAAGAATCTGGCGGAGTTTGAAGAAAAAAAAACGGTTATTAAAAAGTAAAATCGAAGGTTTAAGCCAGCATATTGCTATCGAACACCCAATTGAGGATGAAAAAGGTCGCGAACATGAAAGAGAACTCCGAGATTTAGAGAAAGAGCTAGCAGTTATTAATGATAAAATACGCTATCACGAGGATTGACTAGCCAGAAATGGAGGTCGAGTTGAAAAGAGACCAAATGATAATCATTCCGACTTGCGAAAAGAAAACCGCGACTTACGCCAACAATTAGCAGAAGTTAAAAAACAGTTAGCCGAAGTTTTAGAGGAATTGCGAAAATTGAGAAATAATTCGTCCGGTTCGGATAGTGAAAAATTGGAACAACAAATAGTTCAAAATGAAAAATTGATTAAAAACAGTGAAGCGGTTTCGGCAAACGAAATTAAAGACCAGATTAATAAATCGCAAGCGTTAATGAATGAAGTTAGTGCTACTGGTACTCCAAACAAAGATGATAAAGGTCCGCTGCCGTATGTGATTGGTGGTTCAGCAATCTTGGCTTCAGTCGGAATTATTGGCTACTTGCTGTTGAAAAAGAATAAGCGAAATAAATAATCATTGATGATTTTCTTAAAATAAAGTTGATAAGTTAATTGAGGCAGTTGAAAAAGGGAGGGGGA